CATGACGCTCCTTTGGCGGGCCAATTGGGCGTATCTCGCACGTACGAGCGTGTACGTCGTCGTTTCTTTTGGCCTGGTCTTGCCCGTTTTGTTCGACGCTACCTCGCCGCTTGTGAGCCCTGCCAGCGCCGCAAAAAGCCATCCTCCCTAATAGCTGGATTCCTTCAGCCGATCGACATTCCCACTGAACCTTTTTTTCGAGTTGGCCTCAACCTGCTTGGCCCATTCGTATCTCCAGCTCAGGCAACAAATGGATTGCTATCGCCACGGACTATGCGACACGGTACGCTATCACACGAGCACATCTGACGAGTTGCGCAACCGATGTGGCGGACTTTCTGGTATATGATATTATTTTAGTACACGGAGCTCCACGCCAACTTTTCACTGACCAGGGCCGGACTTTTCTATCAGCTGTCGTTGATGAAATCCTGCGCTCTTGCTCTGCCATGCACAAGTTTGCCACTTCGTACCATCCGCAAACGAACAGTCTTACGGAGCGCCTCAACCGCACCATAACCGACATGCTTTCTAAATACGTAGCGGCCGACCACCAGGACTGGGACGTTCATTTGCCATTTGCGACGTTTGCATATAATTCCTCACATCACGACACTGCCGGCTACTCCCCATTCTATCTTCTATATGGCCGAGAACCCACCCTACCATTTGACACCTTGCTGCCCTCGGTCACTGAGTATGCCGGCGAAGCCATCGCGCGAGCCGACCACGCTTGCCAACTCACCCGCAGCCGTCTGCAGGCCTCACAGGAGCACCAAAGACAGCTCTACGATTTCCATCATCGAAATGTGCACTTTTCACCGGGTTCTCTTGTCCTCCTCTGGTCCCCCACTCGGCGTGTAGGTCTTTCTGAAAAACTGCTGTCACGCTACACTGGACCATACCGCATCGTTCGCCAGGTGACTGATGTTACATACGAGATCGTTCCAGCCGATCCAACCTCATCATCGTCACCTTTGAGTGACATCGTGCACATAGCTCGACTCGAGCCTTATCATCCTCCTTCTACCGCATCCGAGTTGCTCAAGCACCGAGACGGTGCTTCTACCGCCGGGGGGTTATGATACACAACAGCCGGCACAGCCTTGCTGCAAGAAAGAGAAAGACGACGTCGGTTTCTGGTTATTGATGAACTGTCGCCATCTTCGCCGAGCACGGTCCATCGTATATAATTTATTAAATAAGTTACTCGTAACATTATTAACCTACCCTTGTGTGAAGTTTTGTACGTCTCAGGAACTTTCCTTTATGTTGTTGTCTGTTGTTTACACTAAAACAGAAAGAAATTATATAACACAAAGATCTCCGTGCACCATGGGGATCGACGTTAGCCCTAATTTTCTGGCAGACAGCTGTCCTGCATCAGTGTTATGCAATGTAGCTACTTTTTTGCACAAAATCAGTGTTTTGCAAACGAGTTCTGCGGAAACCTGCAAGAAAGGGAAAGGACAATGACCTGTTTGGGGGTTGTATTCTTTCCCCTTGTTAATGCTCAGTGTTGCACATGCTCCTCTAAAACAGTAACGAAAGCTTATTCGTTCTCAATGTTGGAATGAGTTCCCATTGCAAGTTCCTTAAAAGCAATAAAAACTCATTACAGTTATTTTGCAAATTGGAGTGTATCATTACATTAACATTACATTTGAATTTTCGATAAATATATATTGTTGGGTAATCTTGATGCGAAATAAAAAGAACAATTTTAGATTTCACATCAAGCTACACATATTGCACGAATTTGACATCGACAGCAGGTTCTACGTAAGTAAAATGAATGTAAACAATTGTGCTAATCTATTTCAAATCTAACTCATGTGGCAATTCCCACATCTATATTCAGAGGCGCAATCTGGTTACTGCGCTTCAGATATTCCGATACTCAATAAAAATCCCCACCATTGCACCAATATAATTGAACTTCTTTCACAGGAAAGCACACTGAAAGGAGCAATGCATAGCCATTTAAAGTGTGCTGATTAAATATTCAGTGCAAGTAGTAGAAAATATCCAGGACCCACATTTGCATCTCATTAGTAAGCCCCTGTCAGCAAACATTTCAGTATATTTCGTTCTCTTTCCATCTTTCTTCCCGTTTCCTCCCTCTCTTTGCTTTTCCATTTCATTACAGTACATCTTTCTTCCCTATCTCTGTCTCTCTGTAGTTCTCTCACCTTCGCTCTTTCACTTCATTTTTATCTCTCCACACTCGTTCTCCCCCTCCTTTTTTTTTTCTCCTCCCCAATCTTACTTCCCGCCTCTTTGCTATGCTCTTCTGTATGCACGCAAGTTGCAGAGAAACGCAGAGCCAGTGGTTTCCCCAACATCCCACTTTGTTGGGTTGGTCATTCAGCTAACAGAAGTATAATAGTGAAATCAGCAAGAATCGTATTCGCATTGGTGAGGTGTTTATCATTACCTACGTTGCAGGGAATCGAGGCTAGCCTGCCACATTTGCGGAGGCTTTGCCGCCTCTTTCTGCGTTCTCATGTCCCGACATGACTTTCCTCTCCTCCGTGGTTTGCCGCCCTGGGAGAGCGGGGAGTGAAGTTTAACTCCTTTCACACGGTAGCAGATGTCAACTGTGGCGACGTGCGCAAAATCTCTCGGGCCATATAGCGCGCGCGTCGGGAGCGGGAGAGAACTTCTCCGGGACAACAAGGGGTGAGCATGCATTTCTTTTCCGTCCGTCGGCCCCCCTTGTTTGGAGCTCGTTCGGACTTAGCCGATGCCTTGCGACCGCGGCGAACACTTACCTTGTGTCGCCCCCTTTCGAACGCTAGGCCGAAGAGCGGTGCGGTCTTCTAGTGCGTTACCCCACTACACCTACCAGTACTTTTCGGAAGCCAACCTGAGCACCTTTGCCCTAGCTCGAGCAACTGGGCCCTTTGTCCCGGTGTCACCATGAATCGCTTTTGCCCACGGAGACGTGCTCGTGGCTCCCCTGTGTAGCACTTCTCACACGTGGCATAGATAAGCCCATTCACTTTCCCGCCGCTCCCTTTGCAATGACAGTGTACTGCGTCCTTGGTGTTGCCGCAGACAATAAAGTGTTGCGACCTTGAGCAGTACCGTGTTCTCGCCACGACAACGGTTAACACGTGCCCTGCGGCTCGCTAAGACCGGGCCCACACTAGTGGCCGTACTCCTTTGGGATACGTGTACACTACAACGTTCTAGTGTATAATTCGTAATGTATTTGCTCTACGAATGCAAATTCTTTACTGCCATATGTTCATCGTTGCATAGCAATACAAGCCAAATGAACATATTAGCTTTCTATCTGTACTGAATTGCTGTAAAGTGCCTTGCCTATGTTGAACAATTACTATCAAAGGAAAAAAAATATGGCTGATCCCTCCTTTCACGAATTGGTATAACACAAAAGTGAGATGTGTCTTCACAAAGGTAGTTGAGCGTTCATTTTCATTGTTTTGCCACAAGGGCGAACAAATGAATGCTACAGCAACTGGCAAATTGAAATTTATTACAAGAACGGCAATCAGCTTGAAACTTACAGTACGCACCTCATGCAGAAAGCACGCACGAAATGAGCATACACAGCACGAGCGCGGAGAAACTACTGTCTCAGCTCAACACTAAGTACGCTGCTCAAACAGAAAGAAAGACGCATCATGTAGCCATCTGTATTGCTCACTGACGCTGAGACTCAATATGTCGAAGTTTTTAATTTAATCATTTCCTTTACTGCGTTTTTCTGTTAGTCGTTCTCTAATTTTCCATTGATTCACTCACAAACATTGTTATCACAGTGAGCAAGCCTGCACTTCAAAATTTGTTGTCTGTGTTTCCGTTTTGTTTTTTCTGTAGCTTATTAATCCTTGTTAAGGGCTGGCTTTATCGTTTTTAAGCTGTGTTTATTTTATTCTAGCGTGGAAAATGCGTGCGGTGTAATTCATGTACACATGATAGCTCCTACTGACAATGTAGTAGTTTGCCTACTTGATGTTTTCGATTGACTGATTGGAACAGTGTGTGCGGTTTGTTGCACTGTAAAAATGAGCAGCCGGTGCAATAAAGATGTCAGTTGTAATTCAGTACTCATACTGTTTTTCTTTGTCCTCATCCTTTTTGTGCTGCTGATCCCCGGCTAAGTATGCGCCAGCTCACCCAAACCAAAGTGTTGCTTTGGAGTAATCAACAAAAACAAGGCTTGTGTGAATATTTTAATGCTTCGAATACTCAGACAAGTACTACAGCATTGAAATTTTCTTTTAATGATATTTAAATCAAGAAAAACTTTGAAGTATTTAAAACGAACTAAAAATGTGTATTAATCCGCATCTAACCACCAGTAAAGTCGGTTTCACTGCAGTAAAGTAGCATTACACCGTGAAAACGGGTACTCAGAAGAAATCTGCACTGCCACGAAGCCCCTCTTAAAGTTAAATGAGGGCAATAATACCCTCACATCGATGCATTTTTCAAGTTTAAAAACTTTTTATGCCGATTAATATGCATCAAGTACAGTCATTTTAATTGTAACATATATTACAAGTTTTCACTTGCATCCTGCTTGCTATTCGAAGTGGTTTCTACTTCTCCTTGAAGCAAAAAAATGGCAGTTGTACAGAGGTCTTATTCGATCTTTTAAAAATATATTGTGCAGGCTAGTTACAATACCTCCACTATTATTTATATTATGCTACTAGAATACTACTAATATGCTACCAATATACTACTAGAATTCGATTCAAAATTATTGGAACAACATTGCTAATCATTTTGAATTCGCTTTAAACCAAAACGTTCGTTATTTATGCAATCCTAATAAAAACAAAGCCCACATATCTGCCCCGATCAATTTCTGCTTTGATATTGTTGGCAAGTGATTAAATCTGATTCAGCAGAATATTCATTACAAAAACAAAATTTTCTTTATCCAAATAAATTATAAAGGCATTTTTCAACCAGTTTTTCAGCAAGAAGCCTCCCAATATGAGCCTACCTATTGTGCTCACCTGGCTGGAGGCTTCTCCTCGAAGCAGTGCTGGCTCCTGCCCGGGGCACCACTGACCTACGTGGCAGCTCAGGCACAGCTGGCGTGGCTTGCTGCCGAGGCGCAGCAAGTGCAGACGGGGCCGCCCAATTTTGGGCAGGCTGAGACGCCTTGACAAAGGCAGATCCAGGCTAGACAGTAAAAGATGATACGGTACTACAGGAGGCTCAGCAGACTAGCTGGCAAAGGAAGTTCAATAATGGTGTGCCCGAAATGGTAACAGTGCAGCTGTCACTCAAATCATCTTTGGACTGCACTGTGGCAGGCACCAGTATGTGACAAGCACTGCATGCACTGTGGAGGTAAATAGGATCTATACAGGTGTGGAAGCGGGCTTCAGTCTTTTGAAGCGGCTTTCGGAGCAGGAATTATGCGGTTTTCGAGCAGCTCTGGAGCAGCAAAAGGTGTGTTTTGGAGCATCGAAATTTAGTGCTGGAGCAGATTTCTCCGGCCACACATCACTGTTGATTAGAAGTTTTGCTTTCTGGTAAACACAAATTTCAGAGGTTTTTACAAAGCATGCAATGCTGAAAAAGCGACCAGGCTTACCCGAAATTCATATATATTGAACCTTACAACATCAAAGGCGGAAGCACAGCAACTCGAAGAAAAAACATAAGCGGCGCTCTGTACAGCTACTAGACCTCAGATTAATTAAAAAAATTTATGTTAAAATGTTGTAAAGTGATTAAAGCACCGCATACCACATGATCAGCAACTCAAGACTAGAGATGAGCTAATATAATATAAGTTATCTTCAAGTTAAACCAATAAGGCTCTCTTAAAAACAGATGCAAGAAACTCATGTTCCAGTCATTTGAAGTGCCACAACCGACATGAGAACCGTGAGGACATTTGGATGCGCTCACCGTGTCAATGCTAGGCAATTAGTGAGTTTTTTTGATTATGATAGGAATTATATGGACACTTGACGGGTTTTCGTCATTGCCACCATGCTCTGCGTACATTACAAGTTGGTACCATTCCCTGCGCATCGTACGTTCTACCCACGTGTAAAAATGCGCAAGCTGGGGTGATGAGCGCTGCTCAAGCAGAGGTTTAACGAAACGGCCAATCTCTGTCACTCTGAGGGCACAGGCATTATCATCTGAGCGCGTGTTAGAACTGTCATCGAATACTCAAGCAGAGAGAAAGCATGCCGCCCATCTTGAACAAGCATGAAAAGACGCATGGGAAAGGGGGGGTTGCTCGAGCAGCAGCTGTGAACTTCGATTCTAAGGATGTAGTGAGATAGCTGGCACGCCTGCATTCGGCAAGCATCAGCGCACGGCTCATAAACAGTTCGTCATGTGCTCTCAACGGGAAGGCATTGTGCGATAAAAGCATTTCTCTCTGGTGCAGGTTGTACTTATTCTCTTACACCAGCATTTTGCAGTGTGTCGCAAAGTTGGATCCGAAACAGTTAGCTGTCAGCCTTCGTTTTGTCCCAAAGTCGAGATGTGTTGAGCCACTGTTTTCATAAGTGAACTATCTATTTGGGCTAATTTGTGACTGGAAAGCAAAACGTCACTCTACAGCAATACACGCTGTAGACCGATAGCAGCGAACATACAGCGTCAATCGTCGATAATCTGCCAAGCAGCGAAATGCATCAGTATTCATACATGTGCCACTGAAGATTCCAGCGTTCTCGCTAGCGGCCACATAAGTTCCAGAACAAACTGTAATGTACCTGTTGTGCGTGTAATCTCATCAGAAGGCTATAAGATTATCTAGATGATCCTCAGTAATTCGGGCACAGTTTGCGCAAGGCAGTGTTACATGCGTAATGGTGAGGTAACAAAATATAAAGAGTGTGTGCAGCATTACCATTACACCATTACAAATTGTTGCTATCGCAGTTATCGCTTTGCTGGTGAAACTGATTTCTTTTTTTTTTTTTAGTTTATATGGTCTGACAATCTCCATGGCAGAGCACATGCAGTGCTTGGCGGTTGCTTGGCAACGGTGCAGCGAGTTATTGCAACCCCACCGCCGTCTATACAGTTTGACTAACAGCTTCGCTGTTCAAACACATATAGAGTCACATAATAAGATATGCACGCGAATGCAAGAATCATGCATTTTGTTCACGTGGCGCAAGATTCATGCATGAACCAAAATTAATTTGATAATTTCATGATAATTTGATAATTTCAGATTCATGCACGAACCGAAACTGATTTGATATGGCCGCGCTTGCGTCCTTTGTGTAGCCCATGCGTGTTGCTCGGTCGATGACAAAACTCGACTAAATTAGGCGCTGCACATGCTAATACCCATTAGGCGCGCCTGGCGCGGCAGGACAGATTGGCGCAGAATTGGCGCAGGGTGGAAGCGCAGCACTTCTACCCCTGGCTAAGCCGACGTGCATACTTTGTCGTCGCACTATGCTTAGTGTTGAATCAAGCTTCATCCCATAGGTCACTCGTGTCGCCTTTGTCACTCGCGCTGTGTTCCTTTCTTGCTGCTTCCGAAGCTCATTATGAATGTACAAGCACCAGTTGAAACCCGTGAAAACAGGTGTGTAACAAGTGCGCAGACAAAACTGCCAGACGAAACAAAGGCAACATGTGGGAACGCCTAAACTCATGGCAAAAAACAAGCGCACGGCGATGGTGATGGCCATAGGGCTATCAAACATTTGAATAGGTATAGGCATGAAGAGAAATACGTGGGCATTTCGATGATGATGATGATGATGAAGATATTTGCAGGTACTGAGCTGGGCATTGTTTTCACAGTCCCGAGTAACTTTATAAAACCACTATTCGTTATTCAAGTGTTGTGGAGATATAATGGAGATAAAATTTGACACGCTACTCTAACACATTTGGTTAATTTAGTAGTGAAATATTTTTTTTACGTTAAACTAATGAACATTTGAAGGGAGATTTTCGAAAAAGTCGCTCATTTAAAAAATCATTGAGCTGATGTTCACTATAACAAGATTTGACTCTACCACTATTTTCATTGCATGTGCAATTTGATTAAAACCTCCAATCAGATTTGAGAAGCTTCAAATGCATGAATGCATTGATTGATATGCGAGGGTTTAATGTCCCAAAACCACCATATGATTATGAGAGAAGCCGTAGGGGAGGACTCCGGAATTTTAGACCACCTGGGGTTAACGAGTACCCAAATCTGATCACATGGGCCTACAGCATTTTCGCCTCCATCGAAAATGCAGTCGCCGAAGCCGGGATTCGATCTAGCAACCTGCGAGTACCTTGGCCACTAGACCACGGCGGAGGGGCAAATGCATGAATGCATGTCCTTGCACAAACTAATAACATCACAGCAAACAACACTGCAGTAAATGGGTTAACCTGAAAACGAGAAGTACACGTGTTGATTTCCTGGCCATTTATCTGACTTGGAGTTTTTGACAAAGTGCTTCTGACTGTTTCGTGAAACAAAGACGCAGTCCACACCTTAGACAGCGCAGCGGCTTTCGAGGTGACGGATTGTCTGGAAGGCGGCCGCACGCTCGTGGCAAAGGTGGTGTCCCCGGCTCCCTTAGTCACTGCCCTGGGTTTGGTGGACACCGACAGCCGTGCAGACGGACGTTGCACTGTAATTACATTTTTTTATCATTATGCAAGACTCACAAGTGAAAGATTTTGTACTGCGAAAACCGGTACATAAGTCAAACATATTTTATTTTTTGAAAAACAGCCATAAAAAGTTGACTACTGTCTTATATAACAGTCATTTGCAGAAAGTCTTCTTCAGAAGTCTGGCCACTACGGGCACCTGGAGTCAACCACCTCCATTGCCACCATCAGTGTCGCTTTGTTTAGTGACCGCCTTGTGCTGTAGGTGCCCTCGTTTCAAGTTTTTGTTATTTTATGAATCTATTTGGGCACTGAGCAACTTTTTTTTTTCTGGTTCTTGACCAGTTGCTGACGACAGTTCACAATAGTGTTCAAGAAAAAAACAAGGCGATTGAGCTTTCAAAGGCATGAAGAAATGTGGTCCGAAGTGTGTGGGTATGCTAGCGCATATGAATGGGAGCGGGAGCTGCAAGTCACAAACAAAAGCTATTTTAAGGGGTGTTCTCGCTTCTCCAATGTGACCGGATACTCTTTTTTTTGTAACTTCCAGCAATGCTAGCAGCTCTGGTTACAGCAGCACGCCCGGCTATTATCGAGTGCACCACAGACGCTGCTGGTGGACGCTAAAGGATCACGTCATGACATGCAGCCGTAAGAAGAGCACTTTGTTTTGGAGCCAGACTTCAGCGTATCTAGACCTGGAGGCAAAAGTTGCAGACTTCATACGGAAGCTGCGCTCGCATCATGATTGCAACCAGTGACCTCCGAGTGAGTTTCAATCAAAATGTGGACACTGTTGGGATGTTTTACGAAGGTTCTGCCACATGAAATTACATGTAAACGCACATGTAAATAAATGGCATTTTTGCTGGCCCCCATTTGGAATCGCAGTAGTTTCACAGCAAAAGTGCCTTCTAATACTTTGGCCTCTCTAGGAACTACTCTTTCTTTTTCCAATTTTCAGTCGTTCAAAGTTGGGTGTTTGACCTATAATCCAGTTCTGACAAAATGGGTTCCTCAAATGCAAGATTCTTAATGCTCAAAGATCCTTAATAATCCTTAAACTAAGCCCTCATCACACCAAACCGCAACGATATTAAGTATAAAAGGTTATTGCATTTTGTTTCTGTTGTGATGTTAATGTCATAAACTTCACACAGCTACTGGTGAAAACTTTTGCATGGAGTCGATAATGGTACTATATTGTCCCGTGCTTGCTCAAGAAAGACTATGGCAGTTCTGCATGTGCCATGAAGGACTACGAAATAGACGAAAAAGAAGAACTCGCTTGCGCGTTCTATTAAAGAAACTGACCTGCTTCTGGTGTCTCAATCTCTGCGGTTTTGACGTCGTGACAATATTAAACAAAAAAAAACGACAGTCCCTTCAGCTAATGCTGACCAAATCTTAAATGTAATATTTTTGTATTTAGAGTATTACGGGTTTTACATAATTATGAGAGACGCTATAGTGGAGGGTTACAGTAAATTCGCCCACCTGGCGTTTGTTAATACCCCTGTCACACGTGCAACTTAGGTGCACTTTGGGCGAGTGTAGTTAAGCTCACAAGGTGTCAATTTGGCAGTTCGCTACTACACGAGAAAGCGAAGTGTACTTTGGAAATAATGGCAGTGGCAATGGCCGATTCGTAGCGCAACATACATTTGTTATTTTTGCGCTTGTGTCTCATCGTCGGATCACATTGTCTTCGTGGAAGTAGCGCTAGTGGCACACACCATCGCAAATGACTAGAGAATGACTCACCTGCCCATGTGCAAGTGTGCCTGGAAGTAAAAAACAATGTGACTGACACAGCCATTGCAAACAATGTGTTCCTGCATTTCTCCAGCGGGCGTAGCCGCGAACTGCATGATGGTGAGAGTAGCGAGGTTTTTCTTTATATTATGACTTGTTTTAATAGTACATAGCAGTATCCCTTATAACGAAAACAATAGTTCAAAAACAATATGAGTGCCGCTTTATGCAACAGCGTATTTCTGTGCAAGCCACTGTTATCAAGGCTACACACTTCGTCACAACAAAGTGAGATTGGGGAATACACTTGCCGGCAAGTGTACTTTGTAGTGAGTGGCACTAAACTTTCTTGTGTGACAGTGCGCAGATCACACCCGCGGCGAAGTGTTCTCACTCAAAGTGCACTTAAGTTGTGACACAGGTATTACACGCACCTACACTACACCACACAGTACAAGGGTCTCTTGCCTCCATTAAAACGTCACTGCCACGGCCAGGATCAAACCCGTGAGGTCAGCAGCAGAGCATCCCTAACCACCTGATGCACTCTGGCAGACTCGAAGCAGAACACAGGCGAAGGCACATGCCCTTCCTAGACATTATTATGCGATGACGTTTATTGAATCAGAGAAGTCGCAACGAGGTCGTAACGGAAAAGAGCCATGCAGCAAGGCTGGAAAAGGCGGCACAGGTTCTCGCGCAATACTGAGAACAGGCTTTTCATCCTCTTCCGAAGGCGCATAGGCGTTGGTGCATATGCTCTACTACAACACCCCTGGGGAGAAGCGTAGCCATCCTGGCGACTCATGGAGTAGGTACAATGAGGGGGTCGTAGTAGAGCTTGAGACGGTCGACGTGTACGGTCTTGCGTCGTCGACGGTGCAAATCTGGTGATTGTGTGAGGGGCTCGACTATGTAATTCACTGGCGAGGTCGCATCAATGATACGGTACGAACCATGATACCACGCCAGAAGTTTAAAAGAAAGACCAGGGACGTGTGCGGGCGCCCAAAGCGAAACAAGGGAGCCAGCACGAAACGTAGGAGCTGTTTGATGAACGCCGTCATGTCGAGTCTTTTGTCGACCTTGAGATTCACTTGTCAGAGAACGAGCCAACTGACGGCAGTCTTCGGCGTATATGGCGACTTCAGAAACTGGAGAGCACTCAGATGCATCAGGGCGGTACGGAAGTATGGTGTCCAGTGGGTGGGAAGGTTTGTGGTTGTACAACAGAAAGAATGGGAAAAAGCCGGTAGTCGCTTGCGTAGCGGTGTTGTAAGCCAAGGTAACAAAAGGTAGTACAGCGTCCCGATTAGTGTGGTCGAAAGAGGTGTACATCCTCAGCATGTCGCCGAGTGTGCGGTTGAACTGCTTGCTTATACCATTTGTCTGTGGATGGTAGGCGCTAGATTTCCAGTGAATGATGTTGCATTCAGCGAGGACAGCTTGGTGACCTCCGGCAGGAGCACACGATCCCTGTCGCTGAGAAGTTCCCGCGGAGCACAATGGTGTAGAATGAAGCTGCGGAGAATGAAGAGTGCAACTTCGTGGGCGGTCGCTGCTGGTAGAGCTGCATTCTCAGCGTAGCGCGTGAGACGATCGACGCCGACAATAATCCACCGGTTTCCGGAGTCACCATACGGGAAGGGGCCGTAAAGGTCGATACCCCTGCGGTCAAATGGGCGAGCCGGACACGGGAGCGGCTGTAACATGCCAGTAAAGGTCCCACGGCGGTGTCTTGTTTTCTTGGCGTGTAGTGCAAGACTGAACGTATTTCTGCACAAAGCAATACACCCCTCGCCAGTAATAGTGCTGACGCAGCCTTTTGTAGGTTTTCAGTACACCGGCATGAGCATTTTGGGGATCTGCACGGAAATTCAGGCAGATGTCAGAGTGCATATGACTAGGAACCAGGAACGAGCCACTTCGGACCACCTGGCTCGAGGGTACAGAATGTTGTCTCGCACAGAAAAGTGGGCTTCTTGATGGCTGCCTGCTGTCATCTGGCCGCCGAATACGTAACACAGCAAGGGACAGCCAACGAATCGGTAAGGTAGTCGAGTAACATGGCAACGTATGGATCCTTACGCTGCTCCGAAAGCATGTCAGTGGTGTCAAGTGGTAACATTGTGGTAAAAAGGGGCGACATATAAGCCACATTCGGTGTTATTGGTGAGCTGGACAGTGCATCAGCATCCGCATGCTTGCGATCGGAATGATATACGACACGAATATCGTATTCTTGCAATCGAAGTGCCCAACGGCCCAGGTGTCCCGACGGGTCTATGAAGGTAGAAAGCCAACACAGAGCGTCGTGGTCTGTGACCACGTCGGAAGGACGGCCGTAAAGGTAAGGGCGAAACTTCGTAAGTGCCCAGATTATGGCCAAACACTCCTTCTCTGTCGCGGAGTAATTTAATTCAGCTTTCTTGAGAGCACGACTTGCATCAATGAATACGTATTCAGCTTGGGTGCCTTTACGTTGTGCCAGAACTGCACCAAGACCGATGCCACTTACATTGGTGTGAATTTCTGTGTCAGCAGTGGGGTCGTAGTGACGAAAGATAGGTGGTGAGGTCAACAGACGGCGCAGCTGGCGAAATGCGTTGTCACATGCAGGCGACCATGCAGATATGCCTTTGCTGGTGGCAGGCAGACTCGTCAAAGGTGCAATGATGCACGCGAAGTTACGCACGAAGTGACGAAAGTATGAGCAGAGACAAACGAAACTTCTGAGGGCTTCAAGCGATGTGGGCTTTGGGAATTCTGCGACAGCTTGAAGCTTATCAGGATCCGGAAGAACGCAGTCTTTTGAGATGACATGTCCCAAGATGGTTAGTTTTCGTGCTGTGAAGTGGCACTTCTTGGTGTTAATTTGTAGGCCTGCAGAAGTTAGACACGTCAAAAGCTCATGAAGATGACCAAGATGTGTCGGGAAATCATCTGAAAAGACTACGATGTCGTCCAGGTAACACAAGCAAGTTTTCCATTTGTGGGCACACAAGATGGTATCGATCATGCGCTCAAATGTCGCAGGCGCGTTGCAGAGCCCAAATGGCATGACTTCGAACTCATATAGGCCATCCGGCGTTACAAAGGCTGGTTTAGCGCGATCACATTCAGCCATTTGCACCTGCCAATACCCAGAACGCAGATCCAAAGATTTGAAGAACTCGATACCTTGTAAACAGTCAAGAGCATCGTCTATTCATGGTAGCGGGTAGACATCTTTCTTCGTGTCTCATATATACAGCCATCTTGA